TTTGTTGTGACATTTCAAAGTGAGTATCCTGCACGCGACAACAGGTTTGCATGTTAACCACATGCACGTGTGTGACAGCGCCTCTTTGTTCAACAACAGCAGCTGTAGGTGTTGCCGTGCATCGGCCCCGTCCACATTTGGCTCCAGACATTGTGGGGTATTTTATTTGTTTGTCATCTTTTTTTTTTTGGAATGCAATCAAAGCAGATCAGGGAATAAATCCGTGTGCACATGCATGATGTGATGTGACGTGTAGTAGAAGAGAGAGCACCTGGATCAGGGCGTTTTGACTGCTTGTCTTCCAAACACATTAGAGAAAAACTTCAAAGAGGGTACTAATCCATGGCTGGTATTCACCGTACCGCGTGTGTGTGTGTGTGTGTGTGTGAAGATAGATCAAATTATTTCTCAGGGAATCTGAAGCAAACTGTTCAGACCTTTGAACTTTTTAAACGTCTGCGTCTGTCTGCAGGATGTACCACCAACGCACACACACACACACGCACACTAACAGGCGCCCAAAGGAACCTGTTTCTCCGCACATGGGGCCAGAAACCGGAGTGAGGATCTGTTGCCCCACGGCCGACCTCTCCCTCGGCAATCGGGGTTGGGTGGCGCGGCAGCGTGCAGGGGAAAGCTGCGCGGCGGAGCCCAGAGAGAAACTCGACAGCCTGTGACTCAACGGCTCGGAACCCTCGGCGGCCGGTTCGCCCACATCTCCTGGGTGGCTTTTCAAGTCGGCCGCCTTCACATCGGCGGGCCTTCAAAGCCTTTCGTACAGCGCCCGCGACGCCTGGATAATCTACGGCGTTCCCTGCAGATCGGAATGTGTGCGTAAGCGTGAATCATGCAGTTGTCTCCAGCAGACGACGAAGCGACGCTGCGTGTTTGTTTCTCTTTGGGGAGGCCTCTGTCTCTTTCCTGTGCACGCCTCACTGGGCAGTCTGGCTCCCAGATAGCATCGGGCTGTCTGAGATTAGCGCTCATGAAGGCGCAGTTAAACTTGTAAAAAGCTCTGGACTGCTGTCCCGGTGCCCGAGTTCCTCTGGGTGCCAAAGGGGCCCCCGTGAGTGTGGCACAGCACTGATACCCTGTCTGCATTGTCACCGTGCCTCCCACATGCGCTGAAGCCCCAGAGCTTAATGCAGAGGCGCGAGGCCGTGCAGCCCGCCGCTGTTGTTGCCAGGCAGTTCAGCAGTGCACCGGGCAGATAATGGAGCCGCTCAGTATCCCGTGGACATTTTTGGAACCGGACAGCTGATAACTAATCGTTCAGGCCGCAGCGCTCGGCTTGCCTTCTGTTTATCAGACAGCAAATAACACCTCTGTGATCTGAGGGGCAAACGCACCTACGTCGGTTTGTATTTGGAAAATGATGATAATGATCATAATAATGAATGAATAATTAAAGTTTATGTTTCTATTTAGGGAGATATGATAAATAATAACAGTGGAACACACTTATTTATGGGGGAGGGGCGGATTCAGACTTTTTTTCCAGTCAGCCCACATGTAAATATATAGATATGTGTTTTTTGCTGGATTGTTTTCTGCTCAGTCCTGGTCTCTGTACAAAATACATTCAATTGTTGAGCCAAAGCTTGTATGAGCTTCTGCAGTCAGGATGGACCAATTGAACCATCCTTTGTGACCATCTGTTGAAAGCGATGAAGTGATTTCCAAAGTCCCCCCCTGCTGTTACCGCTTATCGCCATGGCTGCCAAAGACAACCAAAAAGAGATCTTCGCTATGTCAGTCGCACAAACGTTTTCTGTCAATCCACTGATTTCTCTCAATATTTGACACCTGACCGTACATTCTGGGGATCCCCGACCCTTTTGAAACTAACAGCTACTTTAAGGGTACTGAGAAATAAAAAGGCTTTGATACAAACTTCCTTAATAACATAGTTGAATGGATCAATATTTCATGATGATAATGAAAGAATATAAGGAGACATAATTACTGTCTTAACCCTTACTCAAAATAACCCTTCAACTCACGTGGTGCCCGCGCCCCCCCCCCCCCGGTGCCTGAGGCCCCCTGTTGGCTTCCCTCTGCTCTGGAGGAACAGAAAACTGCTCACGCGTACTGTACCCCTCAACGTTGCATGCGTTTGAGTACTCTCTCCCTGTTCTTTACACAAATGCACATTTAGTCCTGTCTCGCTGTTGGTTTTAGTCTCATTTGAGGCAGTTCAGTACCAGTCAAAAGTTTGGACACACTTTCTCATTAAATTGAATGAGAAAATGTCTCCAACCTTCTGACTGGTACTGTATATTTGTTGAGGCAAAAGTTGCAAGACATTTTCCCGAAAAGGGTCAAAGCTTCTGTCATAAACTCGGCAGAACTTTGTGTTTGTGCAGTGCAGTGCACTGAGTGTGCCACATGCTTACATGTACCACACATAGGTATACACGCTGGAGGCAGACGTGCACACAACAGCTGAAACATTGCAGACATTCTTTTTCTTAGAGGGATTTAAAAGCTCACAATACAAATATTTACACACCCTAAAGAAGTACATTTCATCCAGGACTCCTTTCAGTCGTGCATTCATTTCACGGAGGTCTTGATTCCACAAAAAATGGCAATGAGGTGATCATTTTAAACGTGTTCTTGCAGTGATGTTCTTCAGCAAGCTACACGTTGTTAGGTTGTTATGGTCTGAGGAGAGAAGTCACCACATGGTCCCCAGTGCAACATGCAGCGGCAGCTTTATTTCTGTTGTTCACCTTTCTGTACTCCTTTATCTTCTTTCTTCCTTTCTTCTTTACCATCAATCCTTGTGAAATTTGTAACATGCACACACACGCATGCATGTACGTGCCAATTTAGGACAGCATTAAATCCCTGTTAAAAGGCCACGCTTGCTCCATGCCAGACAGGCTGTTCCACTTCCACTTAACATCACGTGACTTCACTCACATTGCATTGTAATGACATTTTTCTTTGGCTAAATGCAATGCAGCTTCTGTATTGTGTACAGTACACAGCCACACTTGCTCTATCCCTCTGTGTATGTATACACATTGTATGCAAACACAGTGACAAGTGGAAGAAGGACAGAAAGACATGGAAATCAAAGACATGCAATGTCAAAGTTTGAGTTTGCGTTAGTGTCCCTTTCAATGCACTGGTGCAACTAAAAACTCAACTGAAGCAGTTCGACCGAACAGTCGTTACTCTTTTACAGCTACCAACAAATGTTTAGTGCTCTGACGTCGGCGCTGGCGTCACACAAAGCCCTGCAGACGTTTGGGGGGGGAAGAGGGGGGAGAGCAGCTCTCCCGCTCTCCCTTTCCTCGTGTCCGCTCACGCCTCGCCGGTGCAGCTGAGGGGCTTGAATATGAAAAACTACAGCTGTGTTGAGGAGAGAGCCAGGACTCGGAGCGCCAGGTCCCCTGGAACAATGAGTGCACGGGTCAAGAAAGCCCAAACAATGGACGCAGCTTGAATAGACTAAGAGCACAATTGAGGTTTCAATGTCATGTTATCTTTTGGAAAGCGTTAACAGTCCCCCAGCAGCCGTTCTTTTTATTACAGGCCCCTGTGTGTAGCTTCTATTTTTGAAGCCCCCGCCCCATATTTTATCATTTATACTTTAGAGGGTATCTGGCGATACTGCTTCCTGTGCAGGAAGCGGAAAGGAGTGGGTAGGATGGGGGGGGTTGAGGGAAGCATGGTCTCGTCTCCCCTCTGTAGTCCATGTTTCATCTGCCTTCCGTTTCACCGTGTCCCCCTCCTCTGTAAACATGGATACACGACACCTCAAATATTGGGTTTTTCAGTCTCACAGAGTCACTTTCTGCTGCGCTTGTTCCAGGAACAAGTTAACGTCCCCGAGCAATTGCTGGGTACACAGAGAACTTCTGCTTTATTGCTTAACGGCATTATGTGCAGTGTTCTACTTCAAATTGAACACACAGTGTTCTTCATTCACTAGAAGCAATTCCGGTCTTAGTTTCTTTTATTGAATTATATTTTTGCAGAAATCTGAAAAGAAACAGACTGTTTTAGCTGCTTTCTCGTTAGGGAGACATTTGCAACACAACAGCTTCCAGTCCAAGTGGCTTACAGAGTGACGTAATGAGCCGGTAAAAGCAAACCATTGTTTGCTGGAAGTTGTAATTGTGAAACAATAGTAGGTTGAGCCACACAGCTTTTACGCACAATGAGTTAATCACAGATAAAGTCAACTGTCTGACGCTTCTGGGAATTTGCACGTGGAAAATGTAAGAACCTCCTCCTCAAATCATTTTGGCAATATTGTGCTTGTTGCTCAATCGTTGAAGTAAGTGCTGCAACCAAGGAAACAGCTGTGATGCCTTTTAGCGGCAATGTCTGTCGGCCCCTCAGCTCAACATTTAGATCAGATATAAGGTTCCCAGAGGAAGTGATTACCTTACTTTTCACTGATAGATGGTTCAAAGCGTCCCTCACAGGAATTTGGTGATGCTCTTAACTTTCCATCTCTTACCATCATGTCGAATTGTGTTTGTCCAATAGGTTTCCAAGACCAATATCATGTGTATGGTCAGCTTTACTTTGTCTTCAGGGATGATAAGCCAGCATTCTATTAATTATGAAGTGGTGACAATGGTAAACATTACTCGCCGTACATCAGCATGATATTATTGCCACTCTAAGCATGTTAGCATGCTGATGTTGGTATTTAGCACAAAGCTCCAGTGTGCGAACTGTCATGCATGTTCCAATTGTAGTGTTTGCCATTGACCCAGGCCGACACGGTAAACTGGTAAAAAACTGATTTTTATATCTAAATGGGGTTATTAGTAACCAATTAGACCCCAATAAGAAAATCAATTGTTGGTAAGATAAGTTAGGCGCAGATATGATTCATTTATTTAGTTAATGTTGTGTAAAGACCTTTGTGCTTCTTTCATCCGACAAATGTGATCATTTGAATACATTGCACCTCGACACACTAATTCATGTATGTAGAGTAAGTGTATTGCTGTGTTGTCGTTCTAATACAGGTTTGAGCAGAGGTGTCCAAAGGCTGCAATGCCCTCTAAAATGCACAACGCCGGTCGCGTAGCTCACGCCAGGCGGATGGTGCAGCAGCTGAGGATAGAGGCCAGCATCGAGAGGATAAAGGTGCCTTTATATTCACAGTCACTCGCACTGCTCTCAGCGCCCCGCGTCCACTTCTTAAGTGTGTGGTGTGAATTTGTTTTTCCCGTAGGTGTCCAAGGCTTCGTCGGACCTGATGCGTTACTGTGGGGAACACGCCAAGAGCGACCCGCTGCTCATGGGCCTCGGCGCTTCTGAAAACCCTTTCAAGGACAAGAAGCCCTGCACGGTTTTGTAGAGCCACGCCTCGACTCCTGCTGCTTTCCTATTTGATTCCTATGTGGGAAATAAGTGACACAGGTCACAACTCATCAAAAGGCCACGGTTACCCACCCTGTCAGCAGAAATCTATGGGGTATTGTACTTTAATGCAAACCACAGGAATACGAATGTCAACATTTCTGAACCCCAAAAAATGAATGTCAGCCCGACATGATTAGTTAGCATTAAAAAAATCATGGTTTGTGTTATTTAATTGTAATAAAACGTCACGTAACAACTGTAACGAATCTACTGTGAATAAAGAACCATCTCCAGCTGACTTTTTACAAATGGAACAACGTCCAAACACATGCAACGTATCCAGCGGTTTACAGAAAGCTACAATGCCAAGATTTGTTCCTGGCAAAATAAAAAAAGGCTGTTACACCAAAGAACACGCAGGAGTCTGAATCTGAAGCCTGAGATGAGCCATGAATTACATTACAGGTCATTTAGCTGACGCTTTTATCCAAAGCGACTTACATTGCATTTTATTGTTTTCCCAGGGAGCAAATAGGGGTTAGGTGTCTTGCTCAAGGACACTTCGACATGGAACATGGAGCAGCCGGGACTTGAACTACCAACCTTGCAGTTCCTGGCGGTTAGGGTTAGGAGCACCCTCTCTACTCAATGCGCCACGGTCGACCCCCAGAATTCCAGACTCCCCCATTTTTACAGCGCGTACAAACAAACCCCCTCAACATCGGCCCGATCAGATCGAGGCCTTAAGCTGTCACGTCTTACTTGCATCAGACTTCCGGAAGGAGCTGTTGTAGGTTGTGTGCTGCTGATAACGAGCAGCCGAGGTAATGATATCCTGTCGGCGGACGCTCCAACCGAGCCGTCCGTCACATGAAAGCAGAGAGGAAAGAGCGGAGGCCCTCTGATGCACGGCTCCTGCTTTATTTTTGTCATCTAGTCACAATCATGATAGTTATTCAAAATTGGCCATTACATTGTTCTCTTTTTTCCTTCAAGCACAGACAGAGCAATCAAATTGTCCTGACATGTACAATTCAACCTTTGCAGAGACAAACCATTCACTTAAAGCGTCAATTGGATTTTTATTTTCAGGATATTGAGGATTGAGCTATTAAATGTCATGAAATATTAAGACCACAGATATATTATTTGGATTAAACAGTCCAAATGTATACTTTTTTCTCCTTTTTTTGTATTTGCCTATACGTGAATTATCAACTCAGCCCAACTATCTCTTAAAAGGCAAGTAAAAAGCAGCAGTATCAACTTTTAAGATTGCTGGTCGTTGTATATGACCCTTTTATATATTTTTATTCAATTATTGCTGAAAATAAAGATTCAAAACCACTGAGATCACCATTTCATCAGATCCAGCTATTTAACATCCCTGTGTTCTGTGTGCAGAGCCGGGATTTACAGCTGCACTAAGCTGTCAACACCAGATGACTGTTATAACACACTTTTTATTTTGTATGTAGCTGTGACAATATGTCTTTTTTGTGCGTTTGGGCACATTCAAAACATATAACCAGCCAGGGCCTTATTGATAAAGCAATCATGCTACAACCTTTCAATTACCTTCTAGTTAAATAAAGGTTGTTGTATTTAACTGTGAATAAGAAAGATCCATTGGTGAAGAGAGTATAAGTTGTTATTGTATGACATCATATTTCTAAAAGACTTATATTCAATAACAAATTGCATTAAAGGAACAGTGTATAGCATTTAGCGGATCTATGGCAGAAATTAAATATACTTCTACTATTCCCTGCTGCTAAATCCGGCCCACTGACGCTTCAGGATATGTCTCAATATGTACGCAATATGTCTATGAACCCTAGTATGCGCTTGCTTTAGCTGTTTAATGTTCTGTAATAGAATTGTAGTCATTCAGTCAAACCTCAGCCTGGAAAAAAAATAAAATTAAACTTTTTGGGCTAATGATGTCTTCAGTTGATTTTTGCTTTTGAATATAAACCAGTGGTTTTAGGTCTTAAAAATGTTTTATTTTCCAATTAATACCTATTTAATGTGAAAGTGGTCCCTTGCAGTGACAAATCCAATAAGTTCTATCAAAGCGGTGAAGTTCTCTTCCTTTGAGAGGCACAACTTTATGGATTTGGTTCTTACCGCCCTGTGCTTTCTAGCTGCTCTTTTCATTTATAACAGGTAAAAGGACAGTGCACAACATGCTCTGTACCGGTCCCATTAGCGACTAGCTGGCTAGCATTGTAGCGTTTGTGTATCTTGAGTGGAGACAAAAACAGAGCTAAAAGCCCACTGAAAAATTTGAATTTCATCTGACCGTTGGACAGATCTCTAAGTCCCGGGCCATTCTTTGCTAACATGATAGCCATATCAACCGTTTACCAAGCAAATGTGTCATAGTTCTTTTCTTTTTCTGCTTTAAAATGAAAGTCACCCGGTTCCTTTTAGCGGTTAGCTCAGACTTAAACTTAACTCATGTGAGGGTTCACACAGGAAAACTCTAGATACTCAACCTGAGTATCTAATAATTGCACACAGCAGTTATAGCAGACTTAACACCGTGTTTTAAGCTGGTAAAACACATCTTGCCCAAAGTGCGAGGAAGATGTGTTCAGCTATAACTACTCTGAACTTATTTGCGCTTATTACCGTTATTGGTCGTTAACTAGTCCAGAGTTTCAACCAGCCCCCCCCTCCCTTTTGTTGGATTTACAGGTCGCCATGTTCAAACAGGACGAGTGTCCCCATATCAGGTCAGGGGCACAAAAACATTCTCGTTTGCTCTAATTTCTCAGTGACGGTTCTTTTTGTGCCCTGGAGCCCCGTGCAGTCTGTTGCAATAACAGCTCCCAGCAGCCCTTTCTGCCGTTCCCCAGTGTCCTCAGGTGTGGGGTTACACCCACAATTAGGTCAGGCCATATTGGTTGGCCCACATTGACGTTACCCTTCGCTGGGGTCAGATGCTGGATAGCGATGGCTTTGTTGCAGCGATTGTGTTACCTGTGCGGCGCAGGCGCTCCGGGATAAGCTGTTAAAACTCAGCATCTCGCCTACATTTTAGTGGCGGATGTATGGCAGAAACTGGGACACTAGCAGGGGGGCCGTCGTAGTGTGACAGGAAGGAATTCTGTCTCTCAATTATCGAATGCACTCAGACACACCCTGCTCTTGTATTTACGGTATTATTAAGGGGGAAAAAAACACATGCCACTTAACATTTTGGCTGGTCGCCAACTTCCTTAAAGAAAGACGGCAGCAAAACTCTGTTCTCTGTTCGGAAATCTGTTCCACCACATACTCTGGGACTTATCAATGCAGTGGAGTGCAGATCAGCCGGTTTGTCGGCCGTGCACATTTGATCACATTTGCAAACTGCAGCCTCAGTCAATTTAACAGCAGCCACTCAGGCAACACAACACACAACACAACAACGGTTGTGCCCTTACTCTGCCCGGCTGACACCTCCGCGGCAGGTCCGCCTCTCTGCGCACGCTGCCTGTTAATTACAAGTGCCACTATTGTCAGTGGTCAGGGGGAAGGCCTCTATTCACAGGGGCTATTTTTGCCGTGAAGCTAAAGCACTGTACGGCTCTAGCAATGGAGACCTGAATAGCCCTGACTCATGCATGCATTGTCTTGTTACCCCACTGTGTAGAAGGCTTTGTCCCTCCCCACTCTGTGCACAAGCACCAAGAATTTCTGGTTTTCTCTTTATGCGCTGTGTGAAACTTTTATTTTTCCTTCTTGCCTCTTGCTATTTTTAATACGCTCAGCAGAAAATATGGCTGACGTTGCAAAGCTGCAGAAGGCTGTGAAGAACGAGCCGTCCTAATGAGCCAAGTCCCGCTCAGATTCAGACTGCAACTTCACCTCCCCTCAATGTAACTACTTCCTAATAAATGCAACAGGTCAAATTTCGCAGTTGTGAAGTTTCCCTGCAGCTGATTTCAACGAATCTCGTCCCTGCTGCAAGTTCTCAGAAACGGAATACATTAACTTTATTTACATTTAACTTTTTGGATTCATTATACTTCTACTTCTACACTACATCTCAGAGGCAAATACTGAACTTTTTATTCCACTACATTTATTTTGACAACTTAAGTTTGAGTGCATCAAAACTAAATATATGTACGTGTGCACATCGCTGCACAGAGGATTATAACGAAGTAATGCGCGATATAACTCATCAATAATGAAGCCAATTACAAACGATTGAGCACTTCTTCCACCATTGACTGTGGCAGATGTTGTACAGAAATATTACCGTGCTCTTGGTTCAAAAGACGAAAACTGGGTGAGTCATGTGCGGAGTTAAATACTTTGCAGGACCGAAATTGACGCAGGCTGGGGCGGCATGTATAAGTGCAGGCTGTACACGCAGGAGGCACACGGTGTTCCTCGGGACACCCTGTGACTTCCTGCAAGCACACCGCATCTAAAGTACATGGAAATCATGGAAGCATAACCACCCTGTGAACTGTCGTTTATTTCACTCAACGTAACAAGGCAGAATTCCGTGAACAATAAATATAATTCATTAAATGAATGATTCACAACAACATAAGTTAGTGGACAAGTCCAAACATTGCGTTGCCCTTAAAATAATAATAGTTAAATGTGAAAAAAACTTTCCCTTTAGATATATCAAAGTGACCCGTCTTAAATATAATTAAATAAATGTGCTTTTTAAGAAATACTTGGATTTGGTCAAATTTTCATGAGAGCGCTCCGACCGATCCGCTCCAGCACGGTCCGATCTTTGGGGGTTCTTGTCAGCTGAGACTCTGTCTGCTTTCCCCCGGTGTCCTGCGCCTGTGCTCCCCACCACGTGTGCGTGTCTCCTCACGAGGTTCGGTTTCCTGGAAAGGATTCTTTCTCAGCAGAGAAAGGTGCAGTCGTAAGTTGGAAATCCTGCGACCCAGAATGCTGAGTCACTCTTCCTTGGCCCACGAGTTCACCCTGACTTGTTGTAACGTTTTCGCTTCCTTGAGTTATTTTTTCCCCCCTGCCCCTCCCGTCCCTCTGTCTCTCTGTCTCTTGAGGGCATTTCCAAAAGGAGTCCAACACAGACACTAACACAGGCCTTGTGCAGTTGCTTTTCCCCCAATGCACACAGTACATTAATATTCCCAGCAGTTTCATCGGTCGGGCAGGTTGATGACGGGCACCCACTGATCCAGACAGCGGCTCTCTCTGCAGAACCTGGTCACTTTGCTCAGCGCCGGGTCCTTCCACAGCGACGACTGCGGGTTCTGCACAAGAAAGGTCCAAAACGTGTTAACGTCTGCTGACTGCTGGAAATGTGCAAACAAACCGAAATGATTCCGAATGCAAAAACACAATGCAAGCAACAGTTGTGCTAAAAATACAACGCAGTAAGGTCAAAGCAGCTCTCCTTTTCCACCCATTGTGATGGAGGTGAGCCGCACACACAGCGTGAGACACTTACGGTGACGAGGACACAATGCAGGTCGGTGGGCTCCCCTCCAGCTTTCCCTCCTCCCAGTATCTCTGCCAGACGCTGCAGGTTGCTCACGCGCAGGATGTTGATGTCATTCTCGCAGCAGAAAGCTTGGATCAAGGTGAAATGAATCTGCAGAGCCACGTCCTCCTCGTCGTCGGTGGCCAGCAGACACAAAACCACATTGTCTGGGTCGCTAAAAAAAAAAAAAAGCACAAAGACAAAAGAGTTGTGAGTAAACGAGTCGCACTGAGGTGACTAAGCTAACTAACGTCTCGTTCTTAACTCACGCGTTCAGGGACTTTGCAGCCTCGTAGACGCCGACGGTGGTGCAACCCTGCGGCACCGCGGAGCTCAGGACCTCCTCCAGGGCTTCAGCCACCGACTCCATCCTGAGGAGGAGGACATAGGACACAGGACACGTCAACGCCACACTTAGAAACGGCTCGGGAGCGGACTGTGCCGGGTTACGCGTTGACTAGCACGCGCGGAGACGTAAGAAGTAAGGACGCGGCGCCGTTTGAACACGGCGGCGATGTCAGCGCGAGCGCAGGCAGCGGCCGTTAGCATAGCATCGCCTGGACGTTACCGGGACAGTCCCGGTGCCCGTGTGAGAGAAACCTCTCTTAAAACTAGTGGAGTTTTGGTGGAGAGGCGTGCGAGACGTTAAAACAACGGAAGCTGACCTTTCTGATGAATTGTCTCCACTGGTTTCTTCAAAAGTCATATTGCACATCCGAGCGGGCGGCTGCTGTATAATATCCAGAGCGGAGCGCGAGCGACTGGTGGCGCGTGCAGAGACCGTGTGCGCGGTGCCGGTGCGTCGCGCGCCTCTAGTACTGAGGTCCGCTGTCCCCGCTGCTCATCTGCATAAACCAGTCCCGGTGGTCACGTGGACAGACATGCCCCACCCCCTTTTTCGTCCCCGTCTCTGTGAACGCAGCGACGCCGTGTGGCCGTGGCCGGGAGCTGCTTCTCATTGAGGAGTGAAGTAGCTCTGGTTTAAAATAGATTAAATGGGAATTATAAATTATAGTGTGTGTTTCTAATGCACCAGATACACACAAAGACATCACAGTGTAGCCTTTACAGGTTACGTGGCCTTGCATTTCTATATCAAATGCACATTTTTTTAATTGATTCACTTCATTACTTGTATTTCCAGCGATCTTGTGACAATTTGAATTTGACATATGATTCAGAGTAAAGTAGCACAGAGACTCGTGACGCACAGAATGTGCCGCACCTCTAAAGGGCCGGACATTCAAATGCATTTAAGGCATCTTTATTTGTCTGTAGGCCTACTGCAGTTACAGTAGTATAATAGTATATAGTGCACATTTGTTTATTCAGAGGTTTAAATAACGGGCATTAACAGGAACAGCTGATGATTGCAGCTACATGGGGTCACAGCGCCCCTGGTGGAAATCTGATATGAACGTTCAGCTGCGATACACTCCGCGCTGACCAGGAGTCAGTTTCACGGTGAGCACAAACCGGAAAACCATCACTAAAACTGACCGGAGACCAGCTCAATCCCAACTCCAAGTAACCGTCTTCGGCGGTACGCTGCATCTTCTCTACCGGCAACGTGGCAGCACTCACCACTTCAAAGTCACACGCACACACACGTGTGACCCACAATCCGGGGACACGCGCAGGTTACACAGAATGGACTAAAATCTTTGTCTTTTGTTGGAGTCATTCTGGAGATGGACGTGACTTCCTCTCTTCCAGCCCTGTTGGACTGCAGCTGTCAAGCTTCTCTGGGTTTGCTCCACTGTTCCCTCTCAGCTCCCCCAACACACTCACAATGCATGTGGAGCGGGGATGAAGCACCGTTCTGGTCCTGGATGGTATGATTGGTAAGTTTTTGCCCACTCTCATTGGACCATCATATCCTGAGCACTGTTTCCGGTGCAGTAACAACACAGTTGTGTGGGTGAACTTTATCCCCTCGTTATCATGCAGAGCCGTTTATCAGCCGACAGTTTCCTGTGAAATGGTGTGGCGGTGGCTGATGTACCTTGACCTCGTCTGGCGTGTGTGAGCACCGAGAGCCTGAACACAACTTTTCACTGTGTGGCTTTTACTTTATTTACCTCAGGTGTCAAGGGAGGCGGAACTTGCGTGAGGGGGTCATCATGGATCACCGAGGTCACCCCCGGCCCGACCCTTACAGGACTAAAGAGAGAGAGGACTACAGGTACAGGGACCAGAGCTACCAACAGCTGAACCCCAGAGAGGGGGACGGGCACTGGGTTCAAACAGATGCCCGCTACAGGCCTCACTTCACTAGTCCTCCGGCCAGACCGGAGGAGTATCCTCACAACGCGCCGCAGTATCCTTATGGCTACGGCCGCCCGGAACCCCAGTCCAGGTAGGCACAATAACGGAACTATGCATACAGCTCACTAATATTGTTTGAATTAAGGTGCATATACAAATGGGCATGATGCCACACTGATTTCTGTTATTATATGGATTTGGCTTTATGAAGTGTGCCTATTATGAACATTTCATTTGCAAGAGCATGGTGGTGCAGAAATCCAGGTTCAAGTGTATAAGCCATTGACCTGAGGGCATGTTGTCCCTCTTGTTGTTTGGTGCATGCTGAGATACTCACCTGTCACCATGGGACTGGTTACAGAAAATCAGGAGGAAGCTCTGTAGAGCTGTGTTTGCAGAATGTAATGTTCTCTTATGGCCCCTTGTTTGCAGGCATGGGTATGACTATCCACCGTACAGCCACTGGGACTACAGAGACCCTAACTACAGTTACTATGACCATGACTACTATAGGGGACAACGTGGACGACAAGGTACAGTGATACAACTCTGTGAGAGGTCTAGCTTTTATTAGCAGCGCTACACTCTCATGTCTCGGCTTTTCCTCATTAAGATGCTGCCCCGTGGGGGCCCCAGGACTCCTCCAGAACGGCCCCTTATCACGACGGGACACACAGCCATGAGCACTCAGGGAGCTCCTACACTGACGAGCACAGGTGAGCTCAAAGACTCCATTTCTTTCAAGATAACCCTCTTAATGTATTTGAAAGTGCCTGTCGAAAGTTAATTTTTTCTGTCCATTGCTGTTCTTTTTTTCGCACCACACATAAGTTTGTTCTACCCATACAGTGTCTGTTGCACATTTACATTTATTATAATGTTATATTAATCCAAAATAATAATACCCTTTTGTATAATATTCTTCTCAACAAAGTAGCAGATTTTACAGTAACTACTGTATATAAAAAACACAGGGAAGCAATACAAAAACATGCAGTCTGAACACACAAGGAAGCTCTAATGCGGCAACGCACCAGGTCAAATTCCTCTATGTGTAACACATGTGGCAATAAATGGCTTCTGATTCTGATTCCAATTGTGATTTCGTTACGTCAGAATGAGCAGTTATTACAGAGCGGGTCGACTTTACGAAGCCAGCCGCCATGTTTCTACAGTAGCCTAGAAGGGACAAACAGAGACCTTTGCAGTTATTCTACAGGCCAAGCCCACGGGAGATCTCTGTTGGTTATGATCTGCCACCCCCCCTGTCGGATGCTGTTCGAAGTGTCCCAATACCTGCAGAGAGAGAGATATTGTGCAACAAAAGTCAACAAATGAGCAATTGATTTGGAGTTATTCTTGCCTTAAAATCCACAAGTGGAATTTAAAGTGAATTTAAAAACCAGGAAGCCAGATTAAGTTAGCAGGAAAAAGATGAAAAGCTTTCATGCGAAGGAAGAACTGCTACTTAGTGTTAATAACAAAAATGTTTATGTGAATTTTAAAATGCTGTGCAGCTTAACAGCGATTGAAAGTAGCAAACTGAAGAAACGTTTCCGTCTAAACGCGATATTTGTTGCCTTCATTCTTTCAGGTACGACCAAGGCCGAGGCCACCCCCAGCATTACCTGAAGCCCTACGAGGAGACTCCCTCCAGAGACAATGAAGAGGTGTCCTCGTACTACCCGGGGACATTGGAAAGTTCCAAAAACTCAGGGCTGTCCTCCAGCAGCTGTGAGCTGAGTCAGTACATCAACGGAGCTGAGCACAGCGGCTCAGTCCACACACCTGAAGCAGGTGAGCGGGCAGTTCCTCCCCTCCCACTCCACTCAGGGTCCGACATGACGCATGTTCTCCTGTGCTTCACATCTCCCCAGAGCACGGGCCGATGCACCAGATGTCCGCTCCTCTCAAGTACTCGATCCCCCACGTGGTGGTGAGCTTTGGGCCAGCAGGCCAGCTGATTCGGGTCACTCCGGGCTTGTCCACACGGGAGAACATCAGCCAGCTGGAAATCCACAGTCTGGAGGTAGGTGCAACACCGGCATTTATTACAAACATTGTTAGATTAGATTAGATTAGATTCAACTTTATTGTCATTGCACATTGTACAAGTACTGAGGCAACGAAATGCAGTTTAACATCCAACCAGAAGTGTAAAATAGCAAAAAGTGCAGAGTATGTGCATATGTAAAGTGTAATAAGTGAATAAATAGATATGTACAGTGAGAAATAGTTATGCAATATGAACAGTAATTGGGACAAGAAAACATTCTGGTGCAATTGTTCAGTGGCTGGAGGAGGGTGTGTGGCCGTCAAGCCAGGGTGGAGGGGGGAAGTACAGTCACTGAGGGAGATGTGTGTGGGGGTGGGGGGCAGAGTTCAGTAGAGTGACAGCCGCAGGGATGAAGCTGTTCCTGAACCTGCCGGTCCGGGAACGGAGCACCCTGTAGCGCCTCCCAGAGGGGAGGAGGGCAAACAGTCTGTGGCTGCGGTGAGAGCTGCGTTCCCCCCTGCAGACATCTCTTGCTCTGGACAGCCTCAATGGTGGGGAGTGAGGATCCGGTGATGCGTTGGGCAGTTTTCACCACCCTCTGCAGTGATTTACGGTCCGCGACAGAGCAGCTGCCATACAATACTGAGATGCAGTTTGTAAGGATGCTCTCTATGGTACAGCGGTAGAAATTCTCTAGAATCTGAGGAGACAGATGGGCCTTCTTCAGTCTCCTCGGGAAGAAGAGACGCTGGTGTGCTTTCTTTACAAGGGATGAGGTGTTGAGGGTCCAAGAGAGGTCCTCAGAGATGTGGACACCCAGGAACTTGAAGCTGGCGACACGTTAGACAGTCTTCTTGTTTAGCTCTAGTTCTGTATTTGCAAAGAAGAGATCATTTCTGGTCTTTCTTGCCTGCGCAGGTAATTCTGGGAGAGACAAAGGATCAGCAGGAGATGAGAAACTTCCCAGGGCCCTTAACCAGGTATTGCCATTACAATATATTTTTCACAAGGTTTTTTTAGTTTTTATTTGAAGTTCTATGTATGCCTGTTGCGTGTTCTTGCAGGGAGGATCTGCACAAAGTGGACGCTCTGGAGTTTGCCCACCAGCGGGCCGGCGCCTGCGTGAGCGGCGACACGCTGCACGATAAGAGCTCCGCTGCCCTCCTGTGGAATCTGCTCATCCTACTCTGCAGACAGAATGGAGTACGTGGATCATGGCTCGTTGATGCATTTGGACATATTTTTCTTAACAACAAACCACAAATCTCTGTGTCCCTTTTTAACAATTTACAATTGGTTCAGCAAATAGTGGGCTCGGATATCGCAGAGCTGCTGATGCAAGGCTCACATTCAGACGGAAGCTGGGAGTCAGACACTCCCACACTCATCGACTTCAGTGAGGGTACAACTGCTGCAGCACCGCCTCGCGCAGGAGATGACCTGCTCACGGGAAACTGGAGCAGCTTCAGCTCCGAGAACTCTGAGAAGGCCCTGCAGAGCTACACTCAACTGCTGCTGGCTGGACGGAAGAAGGTTCTCCACCTTGTTGACTCCATCTATTTATTATATCCTTGTTACTTATTTAATTCCTCCCTTAGGTAACAGAGATTATAGGTAATAACTACATTATTCATAGCATATGAGCATATCTATTGTCTATAAACTGGCTCTTAACATGGGCACAGCTTAGCAGGTAGCCTGCAGCTAATGCTGCAAACAGCGTTAAATGTGCAAACAGCGTTAAATGTGTAAGCAGCGTTAAATGTGTAAACAGCGTTAAATGTGCAAGCAGCGTTAAATGTGCAAACAGCGTTAAATGTGCAAACAGTGTTAAATGTGCAAACAACGGTTAGCTCACAGAGCTAACAGCAATTACCCGGATGAAACTGAAGGGTGAGCGCTACGCTTCCGCCTTGATGTCTTTTAGCTTAATTTATGTGTGCAATGCTGGAAATGTCACTAGGGAATAGTCAGGCAGGAGAAACACTTTATCTGATTTGTCCAAAAGCTTTGCGTTCACCTTCATACTACGTTGCCTTTGATGTCCTACTGTGTTGGAATCTAAGTATTGCCCCTTTATACTTTACAATGTGGTTTGCAGGAGGCGTTGGAGTCAGCTATGAGCAGTGGCCTGTGGGGGCACGCATTGTTCCTCGCCAGCAAAATGGACAACAGGTCCTACACCAACGTGCTGAACAGGTGAGACAGCAAAGTCATCTGAGACACGACAGCTACAAGAAATGTGTGTACAACTCTATTCAAGCGGTGATTGGTGAAGAAATGTCTGCGTTTGACTGCATACTTATGATCTGCTTCAAACAAGTTAAGTGTGCTGCAGTTACAAGGAAATTGTACCACCTCTTCTGTCTAATCTAGTTTACTGTGTGTTTGTGCCAAGCCTCCAAACGCAGCTCAGCCGTGAGGTATTTTGGCAAAGCTGTCGCACAGAGTACTGTAACTTCCTTGTATGTCACATGACGCACACTTTCTTAAAAATACTTTTCCCCATGCACAATGGAAAAGAAGAGTGCATTTCTTTTTACTCATACTAAGATCAGAATCTGATCCATTTGGTCCCATTCCTTTCAAAAAGTTATCAAAACATTTTTTAAATATATGGAATGCCGTATGACAATATGCAATTTCTCTCCAAATGGGCCATTATATTCCCCACAGGATGATCTTAATTATTTTGGTGGCCGCTTGACTTCTTCAAGTCAAGCCATATGTCAAATGTCTCAACAGCTCTTGATGTATAGCCTTGAAATGTGATATGGGCATTTGTGTTTCTCTCAAGAGGAATTGTAACAACTTTGGTTTTCCATCTGGCCTCACCATCAGATCAAAGCTCAGGTTTACGTCCCAAAACAGACATAAACACATTACACATCACATTACTAAATTGCACTTAGCTTTTAGCGCTAATTAGCAAAAGCTACCTAAAACATGGCAAACATCATACCAGCTAAACAAAGGCATGTCAGGACATACCAGCTGTGTACAACACGTCCCTTTCACACCCCTGCGTCCAAAAATAATTCCCTTTATTTAGAATGGGTGGAAGGTAATTACAGATAGGAAAGCAAGAGGGGATTGGACCGCTGCAACAACTTGGCATTCAGTTTTTAAGAAAAGTGCTATTTCTAACTTGCATGTGTAGATCAGGCAAAAGGTTGAAACTCCATCCATCATCCAGAAATGATTAATCATGATTGACATTGACGTCTAAGAAGAAATCACTTCTCAAGTGACCCAATTCAGTTTTACAGACTATTTTGGCAACCGCAGAATGTTTCACAACAACCTGCCCTAGAGGAATGCCAGGGCGAGGACAGATTTTTTTGTTTGTGATTGACATCACTATGGTGTGTCACTTCTGCGCAGAGCGGCAGCAGCAATGCTCTTTAACTGATAAGGTGTGTAAAGGTGAGCATTGAGACGAACAGCTCTTTTGGCAGGTTTACAGGCCAGCTAACGGCCAGTGATCCCCTCCAGACCCTCTTCCAACTGCTGACTGGGAGAATCCCTGTGGTATCCATGGTAAAACATTACCTCTATTGTACTTTCAAGACAGTCGGTAATTTAGCTAACAGGAGCCATGTGCAATATGCTCTGTGTCTAGAGCTGTGGGAATGAAAAGTGGGGAAACTGGAGGCCCCATCTGGCTGTCATGCTTTCCAACGAAACAGGAGACCCTGCCGTCCAACAGAAGGCCATCGTCACCATGGGGGACACACTCGGTACGGACCGACCGCCTGGCAGGTTTTAATGTCGTCTCTGCTCAGATATACGAGCCTGTTGCTTTGTGTTGCTCTTCCCCGCGCAGCCTCCAAAGGCCTCGTACATGCCGCCCATGTGTGCTACCTGACAGCCAGCGTGCCCTTCGGGGGATTCATGCAGAAGGCGGATAGACTGGTGCTTCTGGGCAGCAGCCACAGGTGAGCTGCGCCTGCTTGGATTGGACATCTGTCATTTCTTCATTTATTATCTGTCAGCGAGTCTTTCAATGCTTCTTGTTTAATCTTCTTATCTTGTTTTTTTTTAAACTAATGTGTTTGCTGAGATGATCTTGCTTATTTTTTCTCCTCTCCTCTTCTTTAGGCAATCCTTTGAGTACTTTGCCACCAACCTTGCCATTCAATGCACTGAATTGTATGAATACTGCCAGACACTTGGGGGCAAATGTTTTTTGCTGCCATCCTTTCAGGTATGTCCCATCTAAACCAGATTCCAATGCTTCTTATTTGCGGCTGTATTTATTCAAATATGATGTTGAGCACTGCGTCATTGTGGTCAGGTGTATAAGTTCCTGTATGCGAGTCGACTGCTGGACTGCGGCCTTGCGTCTCAGGCCTTTCATTACTGCGAGGTGGTGGGCCGGGCGATCCTCGGGCAGGGGGGGCCTTTCCTTGTGCTGATTGGAGAGGTGATCAAGGTATTCTCACTTGCGCCTCAACATTCCCACACGTTATGGCGCACGCATGTGAGTTCTTTAGTCGAATGGAATCAATGTGCATCGGTTGAGTTCTACTTGGAGGTGAATGTGTCCGTTCTCCTGCAGCTGTCAGACCGGCTGAGACACTCGGAGGGTCAGTTCAGTGAAGCAGGTCTCAGCGGAGCCGGGCAGGAACCCGACTGGCTGACACAGCTGCGTTTCAGGCACCACGCTTTACAGGTGAGGACGAACAGGAAGGGTATATCATTTGAGTATGTTAAACTAGAGAGATGGAATAACAGTAATTCAGGAGACAGAGTCATAGTTAATCCGTATTGGACCACCCCCACAAATATGTGGTGTTTCTTTGCCTAATGCTACATGTATTTGCTCTGCCAGCGAGTAATGGCAGGATTATTATTCAAATTAAAGCGATGCCTCTCATTTAAAATGACAGTGAGGGTTACATCGTCTCTCGGTGTCCAAAAACATTCAGGCTTTTTTCTACCTGACAACTTCCACCATTTCGGTCCAGACTGGAATTTGAACATTTGAACATTTGTCATGAACATGGCGAGCATTGTACCTGCTAAACATCAGCATGTAAGCCGCGTCATTGTTAGCATGTTGGTATGCTAGTGTTAGCATTTGTCTCAAAGGTGTTGTGGCTAACTCTTAGTTTGTCTTGTCGACAGTAAAACCATGTGAGCGTTTTCATTCATTATTTTCTCAGACTGGGAGATACGACTGTGCTGAAACATCTCAGTCGCCTCCTGAGGGAAGTGCTTCGGCCCATGAGCACAACACAGTGTCCTTAGGTAATTAATCCCCCCTCATTACTTCAAATGATGCAGCTATGTGAAATGTTGTCTACTACAGAGCATCGTCTGTTGCGCTTGCTTTCTTCTACATTTGCTAATACTCAAATTACATTTCCAAAATGTTGATTCCGATTACTCTACAGAATCGCAACTGGATGCCCTAAACCGGGACATCCAGAGTCCAGAGCCGGAACTCCTTTACTACAGTGGCCCTGAGCATCTAGTCGAAGGAATCACTGAGGACATGAACGTGTTGTCGTGTAACGACCGCAGCGCTGAGGACTGGAGCCAAATGTGAAGCCTTGTCTTTATCCACGCCTGTCAGCGGCGTTGCGCAAAACCGTTACTGCTCAAGTGGTATCCATTGCTAACAGACCACTGTCCTCTCCCGGTTGCTTGTCTAGGCCACACGCCAATTCTCCAATGCCAGTGCCGCAGGTTTATTCCCCCCCAGCACCCCCAGTGACTGCGTGCCAAGCCTTCAGTTATCATAACACAGATAGTGCTGAAGTCAGAGCCGCCTCGCCACATTGTCCTCTAAGTAATCAGCCATCAGTAGCACAGGGTGAGAATCTAAATGTGGGATCACGCCTTTCTACATTCATATGTATACTAAGTTGAATTTTTGATATATTTGGATTTCATTTATTCTGCAGGTGCTGGGCCGTCCTCTGGCGCAGACACAGTGAGTAATTATTTGAGTTTTCTTAGAGAGGAAAAAAGCCTGCAACACAAAGATGGCCCCCTCCTGGTTTGATGTTAGATATGCGATCCTTTTTCTGGATTTATGCCAATGTTTGGACACTACTTTCAAACGCGGAGAGATGTGTTAAATGAGTGACCGTCCGTATCTCCTCTGAAGATGGGGGTTCAGATGCTTGAGGTGAACGTCAGTCAGCAGGGGCAGTGCCAGCAGAGCGTGCAGCAAGGTTTCGAAGGCTCCGAGCTGACCAGCGAACCTCCTCAACAGGTGGGTCAGAGCTTTGAAAAGGCCAGGTGTCAGTGAGCCTTTTATTGGACATGGGTCTCATTCTGTCCTGGGTTTAATGCAGAGCACCAAAGCAGGATGGTTTAGCGGCTGGTTCAAGTCGAAGCCCAGAGAAGTTCCCGAGGGGAGTTCAGAGCAGAGGAGCCCGGCTCAGATGGTAAGAGTCGAATAGACAAACCTTGTGCTGCTCAGGTTCAACTGGCGATCTTAGATGTGTATCGTTCCCTCAGGAACTACCGCCGACTGCTGGCTTCTCTCCTCCTCCTCCGCCTGCCATGTTTCCATCTCAGCCGTCCTCTGCTGGGATCAACCCCTTTTCAAGAAAAGCAGGTAACTTACAAAATGATCAGTATTCAGACATCATTGTTTGGACTGACACATTTGGGCTAAAATACAATCATGATATGTGTGACATTTGACCTACATTGAGCTATGCAAATGTAATATTTTCTATGAATATCTCCTAGGCCAGCAGCTGGGGTAGCAGCCCTGTCCACACCAATAACATGTATCCCCGGTAAATGAAGTTACTTAAAGATCTATATTTCTGCACCGTATTAAAGTACTCACATAGTCACCTTGAAACCTTTTGTGTTTTTGAGGATTCGGGGATGTCGGACCAGCTGTCATTCACACGGCCTTTGTGTCCAATGGGAGCTTCAGCTAAGCTTGGATGAAGATCAATCATATCCATTATACCCCTGCACATTTATTTTTAAAGGATGTCCTTTCAACCCCCCACAGCTTTGCTCACCATCATGTTGCATATTAAATACAGAAATACTGTACCGGCATAGTAACTCATGTTGCAAAAGTGCTTTCTAAACGCTGACAGCGGGGAAATTACCAGTGGATGCCGGACATAATCGGGGGACGGGATATCCTAATTGACCCCGTTAACCATTTATGTACAAGAGATTTGACCAGGACTGCCAGGCTACGTGCCGCAGGGGAATTTGCTAAATCCAAGTTATATTTAGCAGTGTAAATCCATCCATCCATCATCTTTTTATGATCACATGTACACCCACGATACAGAATTATTCAACAATTATAAACAAATTTAACATAAAGGAGTTGATAACTAAGATGTAATCCAATGCCGAGGTTGTTTATTAGCTTCAGTGGAGCCACCCAAGCAGAGTAAGTCTGACTTTGCAGTCTGAACATTATGTGATCATGTTAACCTTCTTTAAACTGTATATACTGTAACTTGAGTTGTGATGCTGCCCAGAAGGATGATACCACGTGGTGCGAGGGGATGGGGGGATTTGGAAAGACCTCCACGCCAGGTCCTACACCCCTGACACAGCCAGCCAGAATTCACTTATTGGATTTAAACTGTTAATGACGCCTTCATCCGAGAACAAGCTTTATTAATAGCTCTATTATATAAATGTCTGTGTGACAACAAAGCTATTGTAGGCTTCTTAGAATGTATATAAAACACAGTAATATGCTATTTACAGTCACTTTTGTACTTCTGTCACATGGCTTTGTGCTTTATGTATTACAGTATTTGTCTTTGCCTTTGTGTGCCTCTGTCCAGCACAAGCAATTAATTAATTACCAACTTATCAGAGGCATTCTTGCCTGCCATATTAAATAAAAATATCTTGCCAAGAAATATCTGGGATTCCAAACTGAGCCTCTCACTTAATGTAGAGCAAGTAACAACGCGGCAGGTGCGGTCTCCTTTTACGATTAGTCTGCAGTGGCCAAGCGAAGCTGGGGCACAGTGGCGAGGTGACGCTCACCGCCTGCCAAATAGTGTGTCAGACCATAAACACATTTAAAATGGATAGCTTTATGAAAGATTGTTACCAAGTGGAATCCAAAAAAAGTCTGTGCAAAGTGCAAACCTGACTAGAGCTTGTTGCATAAAATTCCATTTCTTTTTCCAGACCTTTTCCAATGTGTGTCAACTTTATTGTTGCATAAATTCGTCAACTTCCAGAGGGCAACATTATTATTTATATTAAAAAAAAGTTAATGACATTATTTTGAAATTACTATTTGGTTAATAAAACTCATTAAGATGAATCTTTCCACATAACTTAATCAGGTGTGAAATGTTGTTTCCCTTTTATCCACCCGGGGTAGAGTGCCTACATGCTCACGGTTAAAAGACCAACATGTTGTGCACGGCGATATGATCCATTGCTTTATACTGGCACTACGTGCACACTAACCAACTAATCAATCCAAAATACCGTGACGATATGTTGAACAGACTGCACAGAAGAGCCACTCGCCAGACTGATGTCGAGAACATTGAATATGGTATATGAATCTCTGTGTGTCCATAATATCCACACGAGGGAGTGAAATGCAATACGCAGTCACACACCAACTTGAATTTAGTCAGCATGTCCCACCTCAGCAACACGCTTCAGAGTGACACAGGCATGCTACCATGGCACAGGTACCGTTCATCACATCACACTTCCTGCATTTCCTACATCCAAAGGGGAAATGTTGGGAGATTAGTTTGAACTACTTATTAATAACTATTGACATTGATATGCTCACTGTACAAAGGGTCTGATATCCCTGTATGTCACACCGTTCCGTCAGCTCAAGTGTCCATGCTGGTGGCAATTTTCATGTCTGGACGCTCCCATGGGAACCCAGCACCACGGGGTCAGAGTGTGTGTGAGTAACCAACTCACAAAGCATACCATGACATAAATAAAACGGGTGCCCTGTCCCGTTGAATGGCTCCAGTTGGTGAGTAGTGTACTTGTCTTTAAACGGACTCAGGCACTGGTGTCCCCGTGGTTCAGCACGTGCTGAGCGAGCTTCGTGGCACACTGGAAGGACTTGTCACACTCCACGCAGACAAAGATCCTTCCAGCACACGTTTGCTCCTGGTGGAGCTTCAATGTGGCCGGGTGACTAAAGTTCTTGCTGCAGCCCGTGCAGTTGTGGGGTTTCTCCTTACTGTGGACGTACTGGTGACGCACGAGGCGAGATGCCATGGCGAACGCCACGCCGCACTCTGCGCACTTGTGGGGCCGCGCGCCGCTGTGAATGGCCTCGTGCTCGGTCAAGTTGGACGACTTGGTGAAGCACTTGGAGCACACCGGGCAGACGTACGGACGAACCCCCGCGTGGACCTTCTGGTGCTCTGCCATCCGACTGGCCAGAGCGAAGGTTTTGCCGCAGTCGGGGCAGGAGAAAGGCCTCTCTCCCAGGTGCTTCCTCTCGTGGCGCTTCAGGGAGAGGGGCTTATTGAAGGTCTTGCCGCAGTGCGTGCATGGGAAGGGCTTGTCATTGGTGTGCATGTTCCGCTCATGCTTCCGCAGGTCAGAGGAACGAATGAAATCCTTCCCACAGGTGTCACATGCGTAGGGCTTTTCACCTGTGTGTGTGCGGATATGCTTGCGGTAATCCGAGGACCAGATGTAGGTCTTGACGCAGAAGGGGCAGTGGTATGGTCTTTCTCCCGTGTGGAGGCGTTTGTGCTGCTGCAGCGTGCCCTGATGGGAGTAAGCCTTGCCACATATGTCGCACACATGTGGCTTGAGGCCAGTGTGCGTTTGCAAGTGACTTTGCAGATTGCAGAACTTCTTAAAAGCCCAGTTGCAGTGGGTGCACTTGAAGGGCCGGTGCTCTTTGTCAACTTCATTGCGTTTTTTCATCGCGACCAACAGTCGAGGGATTTTGTCATCTTGGCGCTTTTTAAGTAATTTTTTGACAAAAAGACGGTGTACGTCCTCCTTTTTGGCATTGTTCCCCACACCACCCGGAGAACCATCCTCAACATTGAGCTCCTTGAGTTTGGATGCCCTCTGTTTGAGTGAGGCATTACTTTGTGTCGTATGGCTCTCGAGGCAGTTACTTTCTTTTTTTTGCGCAGCATCCAAGACCGCCTCGTTAGCTCCGCGTACTTTATTGTTCTCAATATGTTTAGTGCATTGTGGCAATCCCCGACTGCTGCTGTCGATATCATCTTTGAATGCTGTTGACGGTGAAAGCTCAGCAAACTTCTCCACTAGAGACCAGTTTGGTGTCTGAGGGTAAACATAAAGGATTCCAGCTTCACAGCTCTCCGGATGTGAGTTCGCACCACAAATACCGCCAAATGAAGAGCCATCCCTCGCATGCTGAGGATTCATTAAGAGCTGTCCATCCGGGGGAGAAGAAGTGACAGAAGGCCTTTCTTGGTGTTTTCTGTCGAGCATCAGTGGGGAGATTTCATCTGACATGGTCACTTTATTAGCACGATTTATCATGCTCACGAGTTCTGGAAAAAAACGCCGCCTTAGAAAGACCTGAAAAATCAAATACACAGAGCAGGTTCTTACTATCCTCATCCAAACCTTCTGGGCTTCATCATAATTGACTTTTCTTGAATAAATGATCACATCAAAGCGTTCATACATGGATCGGATTTCTTCAGGAAAACTATCACCACACCGGCCTTCTTGCTACTTACTCTGCGGCTGCATCAACCTTGGTCCTGGGTAAATCCTTCACATAGCCTTACTGCCAAACATCTAACGTACGTTTCTCCACTGACTCATATCCCCGTAGAAAGCCGTCCTCGTGCATTGAAAGCGTTCTACTCTGCGGTCTCCCTCCGAGACGCAGAGATATCTTAGCCCGGGTCAGGATGTGCAGGCGGTGGTGTTAACGGGCGGAGCTTTGGCAGCAGCCGTCTCTGCCACTTGGTCAGCATCTTTCCTGCCGGGTCAGCAACAGCAGCCACGTCTCCACAGCCGGGCTCAGCTTACCGTCCACGGCCTCTTCGCGCACAGCCCGTGGAGAAGGCTTCGCCGAGAACTACTGCGTCGAATGGCACGAACTGTGACCTTTTGGTCCACTTTTAGGTCACTTCAGATTGACTTTCTTGAAATTTCCCGTCTAGAACGCGCCCGAGTGCGCCTTCGTTTTTATCGTCGTGGCAGGTTGACGGCGCTTTGGTCTTTTAATGAGCTATTGAGTTACAAGGTCTCGCGTGCCTTCATTCATTTTAGCCAATTGAAGCGAATGCCAGGAAGGGCATCGTGCACGCAACGTATATCGCATTACTAAGCGTGTCACTAGCATGTTTTGCCGTCTTCGTTTACATTGGCCATTTTCAGCGAATGTGAAATTCAGCACGACAGCTTTTGCGCTGCCGCGCATCTCAAGGAGACGCGCGCGTCCCCGCGGCCGCCGGCGCGTGGCGCTGTTCACCCGCTGCTTCATGAACGCGCCACAGACTGTGGAAAATCACCGGCTCCACTCGCGACAATAAACCCTCACATTAGCATTTTCTTCATTGTGGCAATGCGTATTGACTGCATGGAACAGCGTGTAATTCCCCTCTTTTGTTGTGTTTTATTCCATTATGTCCATAATTATGATTATGATAATTATGATTTTGAAGAAAAGTGGGGGAACTGTTTTAATTTCGTCATTCGACGTGTTCAGCTCTCAAGATGATGAACAAGATGAACATTTTGTCAGCATGTTGCTTTCAGTGAGGAGCACGCAGTTACTCGGCATGCACCTATCAATATAAAGTCTGCTGAGACTCAGCTGCTTCACATTAACACTGAAGACTTTTCTATTTGCGGCGGCCTTTAAATTAATCAGATTTAAGGATTCATACACTGCACTGCGACTTTCATTCTATTTTAAGCTTCTTTATTGTTTTAATGTCAGTTTTTAGTGTTTCAATCGATGCCCTTGAATTTATTCTCCTTTTGCATTTTGTTTTATTGGTTTTATTAGTTTTATGTGAAGCACCTTGAATTGCCTTGCTGTTGAAATGTGCTAGACAAATAAATATGCCTCGCCTTTCCTTAAGTGCATCTGTTTTCTTATGTGTTCCTACTAATGTTTCCTTCCCTGAATTCCACAGTTGATCACCGGTTCGACTGTCTCCTTCCGTTTCTTGTGTCCCAATCAGACGAGCCCTCTCTCATGCGCTGTGGAGACAAACGGGCAGCTTAAGTCATTGAGCGGTTCTCGTGAGACTTGCCATGATTAGGTGGACTGTGTTGGCCCTCGGTGTATTTTCCCAGGAGAGCGGACTGAAATTTGACGCTTACCAAATAACCTTCACAAAGCTGTGATGCACCTTGTTCGTCGACACATATCAAGTTTTAATCTCTGCAGGCTCCCTCCTGCGTAGTTTCCCACACAATAACACCATACAGCGATAAATTCACCACGCTTTCAGCAATATTCAACTTCGTCATCCAGGTCAGTTGATCGTGTTCTGAAATATGTCCTACAAATATACCATCATTATTATCAACATAAATGAAAACAAACAGCACAGTTGTAAGTTTGTGAAATTCACAATGAGCTCCAGAATACAGTTAGTTAAAACTTAAATAATTCTTTCACACTTTATCTGTCACATGACTGTGCTATCGTGCACGTGTGTGCACAATAGCACCGTGCAAAGAGTTTCATGTCTATACATCTGAATCCACTTTGTAGCCTTTCAGTGCAGAACGAAAATGAGTGAAATAAAGGCGGTCAGAGGGAGTTGAAATGTACGTGACTCTTGCGTCTCTGTGATCGTCAAGTGGAAGCTGTCACAACAAAGCTGCGCCGGATGTTACGCAAGTGTCCTTTTTAGTGACGCAGCGGATGAGCGCGGATGCTGAAGCTGTACCAACAAGCCGTACGAGGAGCATCACCCAGGAACTCCCTGCTGGGATTAGAAAGATTGTGGTTTGTTGGTTTACTTGGTGTTTGTGTTTCTTCTCATCCCGCAGTCAGGAAAGTGTTTTTCTGTGATGGTGGCTTCAGAGAACATTAAAGGGAGGACAAGACGTCTGAGTAGTTCAAATGTGTTTTGTTAGAAAGTTGGACATGGATTAATATTGCATTGACAGATACAGCACTCAACCCCCTGGCACAATGCACAGTAAAAAGTGCACAGTCATTCTGGAGGAGGGGCTCTTGGATTTCACGGTGGAATGGAGCAGAGCTCCTTGATTGAGAACATACCGAATTTCTAAATCTTTCCACAGAACCCACGTTATCCGGCTCTGGAAATGGTTGTTTTTGCTTTGCTAAGAATCCAGTTGTATAAGTAGTACCATATAACCCACCTCAATGCTGCTCATGCACACTCAATGTAGTTACACTGGCCAGTACATTTATCTATGTAGGTTTTTAGCTCAGTTTTTCCTTTTGGCCTTTTATCCCAGTTTTAATTACTTATTTTTTTGTTTTATATTATTACACAAATAGGAAAGAAAGAAAGAAGCTTTTCATACATCTAAAATAATCTAAAGACACTATAAGAAACTGTTTTTAGATGAGCGATGTTATTCATCTTTCCTATCTGGGAGGTTGTCAGTCGTTGGGTAGTCTCCCCCATCAAAGTGCCCCCTTGCTGCTTTCTCTTGTCACCTGTGGAAGGAAGTTCAAGACATAATGACCGTAGATTCCATGACATAGATTGTCATAATGGTCATTGTAAATCCAGGGCAACTGGAGGCTTTAAAACAGCTATTTCCATTCACCTGCCCCTCTGCCTTTGTGTTTTCAAAAGGCCGTTGGACACCGTAAGGTTTTCTCCTCGGCTCTATTGTGACTGTGCTAACCTGTTTTTAAATTCAGGCCTGTTGCACTAAGGGCAAGAGTGAACATGCCTGCGACTATTTCCATTTGTCACTTCAATCTGCCATTGGAAAAGTACTTGATGGTAACAGTTGAAGTTGGTATACGGTATCATTAAAGGCTTACTCGTGTCTAACAAACCTACAGGGGGAAATGGCGCCATAACAACAGATCAAATTAAGAAGTGCAACTTCAAAGGAACACTTTGGGAACTCTGATTTGCTCTCTTGGTCAGATGAGAACATGTGATCAGAAATGAGGACTAGTGAGCTAGATGGCCTGGAAGGTGGCGTTTGATACATTTGAACCAAGGTAAGTATTCCTCCCCTTCCTCCATTTCCTGTGTGAGCTGATTCACTTGTGATTGGATCACACAAAACGCATTTTATCTCTGGGTGTGACCAGGGCCCTTTGTTATCTCTGCGCGTTTCATTCCCACCACGCCTTTTATTCCAAAAGTTCTCCTACGTTTTGGAAAGCCGGGCCGTTAACCAGCATTACAACAACAACACTTTTACCTGGACTACATCCAAACTGGCAAAAGGTCTGTGAAACCAAAAGAAGCATCCAGTCATTCCTTCAGCCTGTCTTCAGTCAATCTGCCCAAAATGAGTCTCCTTTGTCCTTTTGTCCCGGGCCTGTTTTCTCTTGAGACAGCATTGTCCAGTGAAGCTCAACGCGTAGAGCCTCACACAAACATGTACTTTTTCTGCTTGTTTTATTCCTTCAAAGAAATTAAAAAAGCTTCCCAGAACTGCCGGAGGTGGCCCACACACATCAGACCCACGTCCATGTCTAGAATCTGCTCACCCATTGCTTACTGGTGTGACCTTTGTGAAATGGCATTATCTGTGTAGCTGGAGAGTGGGGGTGGTGCTGCCTTCACGCTTCCCCAAGGCCGAGGCAGCGGGGGAGGAGAACACGCAAAGAAACAGTCCAGAATGAGAGTCCAAATAGATCAATCCTCGACACAACTCCCTGAGGGTAACCAATCAATTGTACACAATAGCGTTTATGAATTGATTTTGTGTCGTTGCTTTTAGATAAACTGTGGAAAAGAGGCCGATGCTTATGAGAGAAGTTTGCTGCTTTATTTGGTCACGGACACCAAAGACTCGAGTTGGTTGTGATGAATGCAGGAAAAAAAGGCTCCTTGAAACAGGAAAACAACAAACTGCTCTTGAGTAGCAGACACATGTAGCAACACAGGAAAAAAAGAGAACACTCTGTCCCCGCTGTGTGCAAGCAACATGACACCGGAGAGTTCATAAAAACAGGCTGAGAGACAGAAAAAACTATTTTCTGAGGTGTTACGTCTCATCAGCCAATCGCACAACCCAAAAAAGCGGTGAATCTTTGACCCGTTGCTTACGACTCCTTTTGTAAGCACCGGTATTCGGTGGAGCTGAGCTTGCTCTGCAGCGTTGGGCTTGTAATCAGGCCTGTCGCACACTCACATGTTTCTTTTCACCGGGTCAGCTGTGGTGGATGCCGGCCATAATAGGACACGCACACGAGCACACAAGGAAGGTTTTGTCCCAGCATTACTGAGGCTTTCTGTGCTGAATATGGATGTAACCCAAACCGAACATTGTTCTGTCCCATTATCCGTCCAAAGATACAGTAACTACATTCACTATAAGAGTCACAGATACCATCTCGGAGGTCGGACTTAATAATGACAGTCGGCACCGCTCTGATCAGACAGCTGGCATGTGCCAGTTTAACATGTAGATGTGAGGGGGGTTTGATCTCCGTCTCTCATCTCTCGGTCTCACTGGGCCGCTCTGCTTTTACAGCTGCTCGAGTTTACGATCATCAGGTCAACTGGGCTGCGTCAGTTTTCACTGCGGTCATGAAACCCATCGCCGCAAAGCAAAGGCTGTGTGGGAGCGTTTGTGTGTGGGGGGGAGGTGTGGGGGGGGGGTCGGGATAGCGACGGGGCTATATGGCCTCCAAAGTAGAGGAGACTGCATACATGTGACGAGATTAGAGCTAATCTAATGGTGCTTCATTTGCTGTTTGGACTCAAGATACCAAATTAAGTCTTGAGCCTCTGATTGAATTGCAGCTCAGATGCCTCTTCTGTTCCGTGCTGTGTGATGAAAAGGGTAAAGAATATATATAACGTGCCTGTATAGTGTGATACTGGCTTTAAAAAAAGAGCCTTAGCGGCACTATACATCCTCTTGACCTGCCTGTTGTTATGTAATAGCCCGGTACGGAGCCCCTCCCCCACCTCTCTTCTCCACGCCAAATGGCCTGAGTTTAGGCCGCAGCTGCCATGGAAACGAGGCCCCGGGCACCATGGCCTTTTTCACGAGACGTCGTCTTTGTCTAAATCAGCCCGGGTTGTCTTATCTGAAATATCAAGATATATCAGCACACAGACAGTACTCAATGGGGCTGGATAACGTGGGATACGCTGAGGAGGGGCTACATTCCTAAAACAATGGCAACACGTCAATGGGTTGTGCAACAGTAGGTGTCCAACACAAAACAAGCACGCGTAAGAAAAAGCCTTCCGTACAGAATGTCAACCTCCTCAGGTTTCACGGCAGTCCGATAGACTCAATCAATAGTTTGTTTACAGTAAAAGTGACTCTCCATCTTACTTTGTGCTGAGAGAGCGCTGGGCCCCTGACTGAATGTCCCATATGTTTCCAAGAGGCACTCTGAACTGAACTGAACTGAGCTGTTGGGAGGGTTGAAGGAGGCCAACGCACTGTGGATTGAGCATGTTTTCATTTGGCAGTAGATTCTGAGACAAATCGAATTAGGTGTGTTCTCAGAATGCTGCCATATACAGTACATTCCTGTGGGGAAATGGCATCGCACGCACCGGGACTCCAGTTTCAAGGCTTCCAGGCTGTTACAAGAAACCCTAGTGCTGTTCCTATAACTACTATGTAGTATCTTTAATAATTCAATGAAATCTCACATTGTGATTGATACATTAGATTTACATTCAGTGTTGCCTATCTAATAATCCCAGTCAAGACAGATTTGAGTCCAACTTCAATAAGCTTTAGTTTTAGTACGTGTGCGTACGGATCGTGGTTAACAGTTCTAACTGCGACTACAACACACACAGTAGGAGATTGACCTTAGAGACATTAGTCCGTTACATCTTCACAGTGCAAAAAGTTGCTGCTATATTATTACTCTGTATTGCAAATTTAGCACCTTTAGATTTGGTAAAAAATGCCTGCACGTGAATTGCAACAAAAATGTATCATCATTTTTTTTTACACACTGTACTTTTTTACAACAAATTTTATAACAATAAACCCTATAAATAATTAAAGCACATAATTAACTTTGTGACCGATTAACAGGCTCACTGACATCAAATTGTTTTTCATGGGAGGTAACCAAGTGGAAACCACTGACTCTCTGGAGTAAAAATAAAGGATAATATTTGAAAGACCAGAGAATGGACTGAAAAATGGACAGAATACATATTATTGAATTTACATAAATTTGCTGTAATATTCAGGGAAAAAAGCTGTGGCTTTTAAAATAAAACTTTGTAGTTTTTCTTTGTGAAAAAAACAGCGTAAACAGCACATTATGCATGTGCCTTTTCATGTGATGACAGTCAATAGTAACTTTACATCAAGTATTAATGATCTATTCTTTTATTTGAAGTGAAGCTGTGAGTTCAAATTGCTTTATATTATAATTGTTTCGTTTGTAACTAAAAGTTGTTTTTAAGGTCTTCAGGCAGAGGAGCTCTCCTCCCTGTCTTCACTTTCGTGGCATATTTTAAGAACCATTCCATATGTTATTGCGGTTTGTGACAAAACCCAACAGCAGGAATGTGTTTTATGTGTCATTATGTTTGCGTCGACCTGCGACACATGCGTGTTGGCGAAGTCAGTACACCCACGTGCAGGTTGTCAACACCTTCAAAGCTCACGATAATCCCATCTAAGCTCTTTTGAAAAGGTCTGACGTCATGTTGACTATTTGTTTTGAAGGTTTTCACTGGTCGGTTTTGCATAGAGGGGAAGATGCGAATGTTCCCATGCAAAGTGTTTGTTGAACATTACAGCACATTTTCCTTTTCCCAAATTTCTGAGATTTAGATCGTCTGACGGTCGGCATGTGACGTCGTGTTGAATTAAAATTGAGGCAAAACAGGATACACGGATGATTAGTTAGTTATTTCTTTTTTACAATGACACATGAAAAAACATATATGGATTATTTTTTTAAAAACATAGAAAAGTAGATTGGCTTGGATTTGACGTTACACAACATGACATAACCACCATTGTGACAGAGGCCAACACTGATAAAAAGCATTCAAATGCCAATAGGATCCTTTTGGTCAGAGTTACAAGATCTGCAGAAAATCCCTGCTGCAGTTAAAGACAATTTTTCATTAGCACACATTACAGTTGTGTCATTCTATGATCTCGGCCACAACAAAACCTTTTGGCAGTTTTCGTGTTAGAGATTAAGACTTGAACGCACAAAGAACGCAGGTATACCCGATTATTATTTCACCTGCCAAGTCAACAATTGAGAATGATAAACATCCCTCCATAGAGTCTGGGGAAAAGACGTGGCTAGATACAGTACTGGTAATGATACGTTAAGACCGCTCATGCTCTGATCTGATCGGTGGGCTCCTCTCCCTGTTCTTTGAGTAAACACGTGCGCACCAGAGCCTCTGTGACGCTGTAAGGGTCGCAGTTGGCGGCCGGTCGGCGGTCCTCGAAGTAGCCCTTCTTGTCCTGCCCTACCGAGCGAGGGATGCGGATGCTGGCGCCCCGATTGGCCACGCCAGCCGAGAACTCGTCGATGCTGGAGGTCTCGTGGCGGCCGGTGAGGCGCCTGGCATTGTCGAGCCCGCCTTTGGGGTCGTAGGCCCGGATGTGGTACATGTGTCTCTTGGCCAGCCTCTCGATCGACTCCTCGATGATTCTGTGAAGGAAAGGGACTTAGTAAGACCCTCAAAACCCGCACCTCAGTCATTTAGGACCCTGAAACAAAATGATCCTTACTTCAGTCCGCCTTCCTCTCGCATCTCCTTGGTGCTGAAGTTTGTGTGGCAGCCAGCGCCGTTCCAGTTGCCCGTGATTGGTTTGGGGTCAAAGGAGACCACCACGCCAAAATCCTCACACACTCTGTGAAGGATGAAGCGAGCAACCCACAGATGATCCCCCATGTTGATGCCTTCACTGGGCCCAACCTGGAACTCCCACTGAAACACAACAGAGACTGCATTATTGACTACTCCCGATTTGGTGTTACACAATCCGACAACAAAAAAGACAAAGGGACAATACCTGAGCTGGCATGACTTCAGCATTGGTGCCGCAGATGTCAACCCCCGCGTACATGCAGGCCCGGTAATGGGCCTCCACGATGTCGCGCCCGTACGCCTTGTCCGCTCCAACTCCACAGTAATAAGGCCCTAATCAGGCGGAAGAAGAAAACGGAACATTAAAAGTCACACGGCCTTCAGAGGACTCTATGAGACCCGCTGGGGCAACGTGATTGCCAGGGCAATCTCCAAAACCTGATTGTAATAATGTATACGAAAATCTTGAACATACAAATTGGTAACAATACATAGGAACTGGCGGTGGTTAACCACGCCCCTTGAGTGAACAACATGGCGGACCATGTCGGATTCTTGAGTGGACGTCTCTCCGCCATGTTGGATTTTTTGAGGGGGTTAGAGTTAGTATTGTATTCTTATGATTTAACATTGATTTATTGTTAAAACTGCAATCATAACACGTTTATTTTACATCGTCAGGCTGGCCGGGGAACCCCGACATTCACCTTGTGGACCAGGGAAGCCGTTGGAGGGCCAGCCGAAGGGATGTCCATCTGTGCCCAGGATGGTGTACTCCTGCTCCATGCCGAACCACGGGTGGTTATTCTCCACCATGCTCATGATCTGCTTACACGTGTGCCGCAGATTGGTCTCTGTTGGAACGACGGCAGGGATTAGCTGGAATCCGACACGGCTCAATTTGCGACCGTTTCCCGACGTGCTCGTCTCTGCTTTACCTGCAGGCTTGTGGTTGTACTTGAGCACCTCGCAGAGCACCAGCTTGTTGGGGTCTTTTCTGAACGGGTCCCTGAACATGGCGGCAGGGATCAAGTACATGTCGCTGTTGGAGCCCTCTGACTGGTACGTGCTGGAGCCATCAAAGTTCCACTCAGGAAGCTCTGTCCCAGACCAAATAACAACAACAAAACAACACCTGAAATCAATTGTGTACTCCAAAGTCTGAAAAAACATCAGGTTTCAGGGCACGGAGCGCACGTGGACGTGTGGATCATATTGGAGGGGCAGATCTTACCCTCAATTGTCTTGGGTTCAGAATCCAAAGTTCTGGTCTTGCAACGCAGTCCCTCTCCAGAACCGTCGATCCAGATGTACATGGCTTGGACCTTATCCCCCTGAGGGAGGTCCATGTACTGTTGCTTAACAGCTTTGTTCAGTTTAGAACTGGTTGAGGTGGCCATTGTGCTGACCAAAACCTGCAGAGGGAAGAGGACAGATTGTGAGCCTCCCCCAGTGTGGATACACTATACGTTTCATACATTCGTAAAATGGGCACAACCGGACAAAGAAAAGTTTCAACTTCAGTTTTTGCTGGCCAACAAGTCTTCTAATCATCGGGTCTGCTGACTTCTTATAAAACAACCAATAAGTCACAAAAGAAACGATAAAACAGTATTGATACTTTACGTGTGGTTAATATTAGTGTAAAGTCAACAACCAAAGCGATGGCGTACCATGTAGAAACAAAAGGAAAGTTGAAGCAGCACTCATAAAGAAATCAATTTCTCCTTCTAAGACCAAATCCAGTCCGCACAAGTGGAAAAGTCCGAAAGCTCTTACCTTGTCTGTTAAGTAAAGGAAAATATCAAAAGATTATACGAGCCTCTGGAACCGTGTTCTTTGTGAAGGTTTCTATTGTCTTTCATTCCTGCTTCACCTCCGCTTCCACGGCTGATTTATACTGCAGCCGCTGCTGCGCATCGGCGCCGCCTCTGATTGGCCGAAACTAGCACGTGACGAGTGCGTGACGCGCAGATACGCGAGTCGCTCAATCGCTGCGGCGGATAAGTGCGTCAGGAGGCCGAGAACCTTTCAAATCTCGCTTGGCTGATGATGATAAAAGGCTGATGTGATCAATTATGGGAAATCAAAGCGGATTACAGTGATTAAAGTTATCAGAACAATTTATCCTCAGAAGTTCAACTGTAAAATTATTCAATGTAAAATTTCAAATATTAACCGGATGAGTATTGGATGATGATGAGCCAACTCAGACTGAGTACTAGAATCTTGTGTGAATAAATCCTGTGTAAAAAAAAAACTTAAACTACTTTAAGTACAAATAGCCCTCAGCAAAAGTACCAAACATATTGTTTTATTTGGTGATCATCAAGGAGCTAATTTATGCAGGCAATATTTGACATTTCTTGGTAGCTGTTTTACCTTTTCATTTCAAATGCTTCTTTCACTTTTAGGTAGTTTAATCTACAGCCATACAATCTGTTCTGTAAACCCAATAATACATTTTGCATGTAACATCATGTAACATCAGTATCTGCTTTATAACCCCCAATTAAATGCTGTGGTGTAAAAAGCCCAATATTTGCTTCCAAAAATTCTCATTATGCAGCTGAATGACCTCCCAGTGATTGAATCTTTATTACTGATATATAAACGATATTTGATGGTTCATGGTGTAGTTGTTGGAGGTTCAGTTCATCTTAACTTCTCCATGTGAGCTGTAGAACGCGCAAATATGTATCATAAGTTGATCATTTATTTTGTATTTAATATAATAAAAGTAACTATAACTTAATTTGCTTCAACTTCAAATATGATGAAACACTCAAAGTTCATGCACCTCAGGGTGGAGTAAATGTACAGTAAATTTCCACTTTGGTAACAAGATCCGATATTTGCTGTAACATGAACTCATGAAACCTTGTCTGAGATCTGGTCCTTTCTGACACTAAGCCGATTAGCGGCTCCGCTGAAACAAGTTTGTCCGTTTAGATCTGGTTGAACAACAGCGAGCTATCAAAAGTCGGCAAATGATCTTCAAGGTATGTCGTGACTCGGCAGCCTGGACAGCAACACAATACAGCGAGCAGAGCGGGTGTGAGGTTCGATCAAAGAGTCAAATTTCTGTCTGAGAACAACACAAGGCCTTTATAATCCAACTGAATTATGATTGTACAACTTTACCACTACTAAATACGTTAGGTTGAAATGTAAACACTACTGAACTGACAGCATATTTTACAATCTGTAATTTGACTCTATCTTTTGATGATATATAATATTAATAGGGGGGGGTATAAAGCATATACATTTAAATGTGGTCAGAGACAAATACCAAGTGGTCCTAAAACAACAAAAACAATTCAAAATGAGGTTGCTTGTGATATTATAACGATTGAAGCCTCTCTTTACAAGGCCATCCACCTATTTCTCTCACCACTTTTACATCACATGACTCCAGAATAAACAACCCAACAAAATGTACGCATCACTTTGCCTTGGAGGAAAACATGCACGCAGTGACGGAAAAGAAATCTCCTCATAAAAACAAGAGGCAGCGACGCCCAACAGCTCAATGCCCGTAAACTAAAAGCAGCAGGACGCCGGTTGGAGGCCTAAGATTATCCTTCCCTCACGGGGGCTGTGTAAAACTACTGGAAAACAGGCCCGGAGGAATCACTGCCGTCAAAGAAAAAAGAGTGTTCTGCTGCGTTCAATACCTGCAAGTTTGTCCGTTAGAACAGCTGGACTGTGTATTTATGAAGGTAAATGCATGATCAGCATAACACGGAGCAGTAATGCTGCACCTGAATGCTTAACAACATGTTTGCAGGGCCTCTTCCCGGTCTCGTGCAGTGGAGTCGCTCTGCTGAGTGGGACCATCTCACATAGAGAGAGACTCCGGCTCAAAGGCACCGAGGCGATGAGTGTACGTGGGAAAGGCCCCCCCCCGTAATGTGTGCACATGTACACTTCTTTCCAGGAAAAACAGGAACGAATGAGCTGCAGATCAAGTGATTTCTGGGGCTGAGACTCCACACACCTGGAATGAGCACCCGCTTCCCGTCAGCCACATCACTTAGTCACAGTAAAAACACTCACGGGGACACGCAGACTCACACCCAGCAGTGTTGTGTCCTTGGCTTTTTGTTTTTGTTGTTGTTCCGAGGCCTTGCTGCAGCTGCTGACCCTTTGGCAGGAGCTCCCGTAGCGTTTCACAGACGTTTTTTCAAATGTCTGTGAGTTTCATCCAACTCCAGCAGTGATGGATCTGGGTTCAGGCCTACAGGCCCACCGCGGCCTCGGATCAGCACGGAAACACAGCCGGCGGCATTTCATAACCCGGAGCGACGGATCACACGCTGTTCACGGAGCTGTAGGCGCAGTCACATCCTCACGTAGAGCTAAAAGCATCCAGATGCAGAATGGAGACTGGCGATGACGGTGGGTTTGTGGTCCGACGGGGACATCTAGTGGCTGATCTGTAGAAGGGTTGCAGGAGAAATTGTTCTGGTGTTGTTGGGGACAACATGAAAACAAACATGGGGTCTTCACGTAGCCCATAGAGGCCAAGGGGAATGCCTGTCTCCTCAGTTATTGGGTCTTCAACTGTGTGCGATGTGTAGGACAAGAAATGTGAGCAGACGCAAATGTTACAGATCATTTTGATTTGGATTGAATTTTAATACACACACATTGTAAGATCTGATGAAGAGACAAGAATTGTCCATCTAATGTATATACCATTTAGTTGCATAGGCTGCTACATGCTGTTTAAAATAATTGAGTCACTTGTTATAGTGATGTTTTTCTTCATTTCTTCAATTCGCTAAAGTATAAAATTCAATTAATCAGTCAAATTTGTTAGTTCCCTTTTTAAAAAACAAAAAAGAGGCATTAAATGATTAAACCTTACGTTTATTTACCACAAGGGAGAAAACCGTTGGTTTGGATTTCTCTTCCCCACCAGGAAAACATAAACCACCCGCTATCATCCTTAAACCACAATCATATCTGAATATTGAGTATGATGATATCTGTGGATTCCATCGGACTAACCTTCTATATCTACAGCAAGGTTTTTAACAATAGCTTTGATGAAACAATACACTTGTTGATGTACCCGCTTGTCATCGGTTTCTTGTTCTTCTGGGTTTGTGTCCTTATGGTTGAAATGCACTTATTGTAAGTCGCTTTGGATGAAAGCGTCAGCTAAATAACATGACATGTAATGTAATGTCATCTTGTACATTAGTTAATGGCCTGGAAGGTAGAGACCTTGATGGTGAAGATGCAGAACCAGTGGCTCGTTGTTCCCACGTTGTTTTGCTACAAATACATTTTAATAACACATTTCACAGCTGATTTGAATTTAAAACAAAATCAAATGTTGTTTTGTGGTTCCGTATTGTGATATAAAGGTTCTTCAGAGCCACGACATCTTCCCCTTACAACATCTTTCTTTCTATCGGGAACAAAGACAACCATGAGCAATAAAACGCAGAGCGACCACACTCCAATGATGACAGACTGACATGTCAAATTGCTCACACATTTTCAATAGTGGTTCCAAGACACGAAGTTACACGTGAGAGCGTCAATCTATTCATGATTTGCACAGCTCTCTGCATGAATTGAGTCTGAACGCGAGGAGGACGAAGGGTTCCTCCTTCACATGCTGTATGAAGCTTCACCACAGGGGGGCGAAGTCCCTCCACCCACAGTCTATTCAAAGACATCAGTGACGATAGATGAATGAATACGATCGTGGATTATATTTCCTCTACAGCATACAGAGAAACAAAAAAATATTATAAGTTATATTTGACATAAATTGTCACTTGAGGGCCGGTAAATCGCCTGTGCAATCTGCTCTTTGGTTCTCTCTCTTGCCTTGGAATACTAAATATATAAACCAGTGAGTGGGCCACATAAAGGAGTGCCAGGCACAGTGGTGGTCACTTCACCCCTCAAACAGAAATGGTAATTGGCTCATTTCTGCTCTAACATGTGCCATAAAAGCCCCGCCAACCCTTTTAATTACGCCTCCACGAAAAGACTTTGCACAATACTAAAATGGTGTCAATTAGTATGCAGAACAATGTTTAACATATCAGAAAATTAATCTACACAGCACTTTGAATTAAAAGTTTCTTTCTGGAAGAACTAGGGCAGGCCAGCAGAGAATGCTATTGTATGTGGTCTAAATGACTCCTTTGTTACCGCGGTTGAAAAGCAATTAAAACAGCGATTCATGTGCGCTCGTGTTGTACAAAGCCGTCACTGGTACACGCTGTACATTTGTAAAAACGCTCCATGTCCACTATCTGCTCGTTTGTGTGGAGCATTGAAGAGAATCGGATTGCGATTCACAGAATATGTAGAAAATGGAAGCTTTGACTGGAATCCGGGGATGGTTCTTGCCAAAGGAAGCCCTGTTTACTCCTGTTATTGTTCCGGAGGAGATGAGCTTATCTGATTCCTCGCTCCTATTAACGATGAAGGACCGTGAGGCCTGGATTTAAAATGCGCCTCGGGCCGCGTTCTAATGCAGCCGCACTCGTTCTCCTGCTCACATCCTCCGGGTGCTTCGGGATTATTTTGAAGCAGCATGTTGTCATGTTGAAAATGTGTTGTTAAACCTTTTTTTTTTTTTTTTACATCAAACCTTTGGCCCGTTCTCATCGCTTTGTGTGATTCAAGACACTGCAAACTCATTCTTTCGGGAGTGTCCGCGTATCGTCAAATAATCTGTATTCATTTTATATTTCAAGGAAAATAACAACAGAAATGCAATGGTCATTCCATTTTGTTAATTGAAACTATAATGAAGAAATGGCTGATTTCTTTTTTTGTTTTAGATTTTTTTTTATTTAGAAGTTCACATTTCTTTTGTTATTTAT